AAAAAATTGAAAAATTAAACTGAAAATAAAATTGAAATACTTTATTGAAAAATTAAACTGAAAAAACTGAAATATTAAAAAAATAAAAAAAACTGAAAACTTTAAAGTATATCATACTTTATTGTTTAATGAATCAAATCAATGAAAATTAAATTTTAATTTTTCAGTTTAAGATTTCAATTTTTTAAAAGAAAAAATTAATGATAACATCCGACTATTTCAAGTGTATCATCCGACTATTTCAGTTTAAGAAAAAAATTAAAAGAAATACTTTAATGATAACAAACTATAAGAAAACTTAGAGTCACTGGAAGATAATCGGATGGTTGATAGTCGCTGCCTCGCTGGTGGCCTGGAAGTCGCGGTCGCGGAAGGAACGCCGGAACTGGAAGACGACTCGATTGTGTGCGGATTGCGTCGCAGGAGGCAGCCGAAGGAGCTTTTTGTTAAAAACATTTAAAATTAATGAAATTTGGGTCGGGTCAGGTCGGGTTGGGTCGGGTCACTAGGTCAAATTCTGCGGATTTCTTTCTCCGACTAGGCGTGGCCTAGTCGCGGCTAAGCGTCGCCTAGCGCGCTTAGAAGCCTAGTCGGCCATAGGCGCTGGTCGCCCAGCATTTCTCCTTCTCCAAAACGACCGGACAACTAGTCGCCGACTAGTCGACGCCTAGGCGACGACTTGACAACCATGTTCTTATCATAGCCTTTTAAGTCCTACCATCATAATATTCCATCACCTCAAAGGTTACATGCATGGTGTAGTTGTCGATTGTGTCTCAGAACTATTATTATCGTACACTCTAGAACTCCGAGATACATCACATGGGTACTTCCTTTATATTTCATTATTCCGAATGAAATTGTCTGTAAAGGAAGTTTGCTAAATGCATATCTTAAGAAAAAGGAAAAATTAATTGGATGTAAAATTGAAACATATGGTTAATTTCAGTTTTAGTCCCTTGACTATTGCATTTTCAGAGTTCTTCATATGCTTCAACTTTGGCAGTCTATTCCAATCATGCCAATTCTAATCTTAGTAAGGAACCAAATATGTCCCTTTAAGTACAAAAGTGGTAAATTTTCAAAAATTATGTTTCAGATCTGGTCAATTTAGAAGGGACTAAATTGGGAAAGTGCAATAATCAAGGGGCTACATAAACAAACTTTAACCAACTCCTGGAACATGTCTTGCACAATAACTATTATGTTGGCTTTTGAATTTCATAATCTAAGGTGTAAATTTGCTTCATTCCCTGCTTCAGCAAATACTAATTCTACAAAATTCAATTTCTTCTGCCATATATAGTCACATTATTTCATACTTTGTAACTATAATTTTAAATAGGTCACTGGATTTTCTGCTGGTGGCCGTGTAGTTGATGCCAATGGTGAGGGAGTGGTTGGTGTCAAAGTTATAGTTGATGGTCATGAAAGATCAATAACTGACAATGAAGGATATTACAAGCTTGACCAGGTAAGATATATACAATACTTGTGGAAACATCATGTTCTTTTATTAAGGCTATAACACAAACAGAACACATATTTTCTTGCTCCAGGTTGATAGTTTTGTAACTACTGTTATTGTTTTCTTCCCTCTTTATTTTTTTTTTCAAAATTATTTTTTGCTTACATAATTTGTAGCCAAATGCATTTGGAGATTCTTGATATATTTCACTTGTCAATGTACACACAAACAAGGTCTTTAAAAATTTATTATCTAATCTATTAAGAATATTATATTATGTTTTATTGTTTTTCTTATTAGAATAAAGCATGGTGACTTTGTAAAAATAAACTAAACTAAAGAACATTAAAGTTAGCTTTTGATTGAAAAATAAAAGAATTCCAAGTTTGTTTTAGTAATTTGAAAATCACAAAGAAGAACGAAAAATAAAACATGATGACTTTGTAATAAAATTAAATTACAGAACATTAAATATGGTTTTTGATTGAAAATCTTAAAAATTCAAAGTTTGCTTCAATAATTCAAAAATCACAAGAGAGAAGGCAAAATAAAACATGGTGACTTTGTAAAAATTAATAAAATTAAAGAAGATTACATTTGTTTTTTGATTGAAAAATAAAAGAATCCAAAGTTTGATTGGGAAATTCCAAAAGCACAAGAAGTCAGTGTTTGAAGTTTGAACCATATGGATACTGTGTCTAACTCTTTCACTAATCTTGTGCCCATAAATTAATTTATGGCATGTTTGGAAACTTGAATTTGGTTTTCAAATTCAAAGTTGGTTCAAATTCCATGGTTGGTAGTCATAAAATTTTGGATTTGGATTTGAGGCAAATTTCTATAATTCATTGTAAAGCTTAGTTACAAATGTATATACCTCCCTTGTCATTTGAAATTCAAGTATTCAAATTTTGTAACTGAAATGCAAGAATTGAAATGAAATGCTAGTTCCCAAACACTACCTAATATTATTCTCAATGCAGGTCCCCAGCCTTTCTATCTCTAGAAGTGATTGGTAGACCTTTTGATTATGTATGTTTTACTAGCAATCCCTATATCTAGGCAATTATCTAGAAACTAATTGAACCATTATTGATCATGTTGTTTAAAAACAAAATTTAATATAATCACACCATCACTTTAATTGACACATACTTGACTTACCCGAAAAAGTTGAGATAATCCAAATGTTCATCACATGCTCCATAATCCATATATTAATATGAAAACTAGCTAGACAGCCTAGACAAGTAGATATAACTAATCAAGCAATAAATAGATAAAATACATGAACTCAAAAAAAAATTAATGTTGGAAAGCTTCTTTTTTAATATGACATCCTTCTCAAAAGGGATCCCCCCAAAATAAATTTGTATTATACAGTTCAAGCTTTGACAACTATAGTAATGATAATGTTGTATATGATTTTCTTTTTTTTTGTGTCTCTCACCTTAGAACAAGATGCTGGATTTGTCAATGTATCATTTGTTTAGTTTTTTGACCTTCTTTTGAAAGTTTGGTTTTGAGGTATGGGTTGGGGTCAGGGACAAACCAAACCCGTCTGCAATGACTTGCCCTGCCTTGTTTGGGCCTCTCCGGCTTGTGACTTGTCGCAATATGGGACATTCTAATTATCATAGACCCTGTTCCGGAGAGAATGACTCTAAACCAGAGAGATGAGAATGATGCATTTTTTCGTTCACTATAATGCACATTTATATGTGAGGTAGTGCACATTATTGTTTCCCCAAGCTTTTTCATTAATTTATGGAACAGAATAAGGATACATGCAGCATTTTGCAAATTCTATTTATGTAAACTTACAAATACGATGAATGACGAAGATCAAATATTCAGGAGTGATGTGTACAACTATTTCAAACATACAAGAGACTGGGTTGTAAGCAAACATTGCTTAAAATGAGGCATTGAGAGTGAGCCACGGGGATTGTCCTCCCCCGCCACTGGCTCACCTAGATTAAATGGGCGATGTTTTTTTATCCGTATGCACTTTATCTGCAAGTCCTGATGCATTCAGGAATACTGTTACTCATCAAAAGTAATAGCCTGCGGTATTTATGATATCAGAAGTTCTGTAGGCTCCTTTTTAGTTTTCTTTTCCTTTTGACTATTTCTAGGTCACATCAAAACGTTACAATTTGGAGGCAAAGAAGGAGCACTACAGGTTTAACAAACTGAATGACTTTTTGGTAAGCTAATTAACTACGCAATTACATGCTTTGAATGACTGTAGATTCAATGTCTTTTTTTTAAAACAAGGTATATATTATCTTCAGTGTTGCGTCTCTTCAATGTGACTGAATACCCAGTTTCAATCTTCTCTCACCTGAAAATTTGAACTTTTAGGTTTTACCAAATATGGCTTCAATTGCTGATATCAACGCCTTGTCATATGATGTATGTGGGAGTGTTCGGACTCTTAATAGCGACTATGCAGCTAAGGTATGACCAAATCCCACTTTAGTTTGTTGTCCCAATCATTTAAGCATTTTATTTAGTAATAACATTTTCATATAACTAAAAAAGGTGCAGTACTTTTACCAAGATAACTTTAAAAATTTATGTAACTTCTAGTTTGTTCACTTGTTGCTGCTAAGATGTGACACATTGAATACTATAGAAAATTAATATGCTTTGTATAAAATTTAAACACATTTTTTTGCCAAAGTTTATTCATAGGAACCAAGCAGGTTCAAACCAGGTCTGTTTAGGTATTATTTAAGAATTCAGTAAATACTAAATAGTACTTGGTCATGTATAGGGGCTGTTTGTTTCAGCCTCTTAATGGTTCAGATGTCAGCACTTAATATTTCAGACTGTTTGTTTCAGCCTCTTAATGGTTCAGATGTCTGAATGGTTCAGACATTTGCCTCTGAATGATTAAGTATTATACAGAGTCTGAATGGTTAAGACCTCTTATCTAAATTGATCAGACATTTGCCTCTGAATAGTTAAACAGTATACTAGCTCTTAATGGTCTGGTTCAACACATAATGGTTGAGACCTCTTACTGGTTCAACACTTACCTATTCAGAAGTTGCCAAACAGCCCCATAGTGTGCTAGTTAAGCCATAATCTAATAAAGAGCAGTGCAGATAGCAATGGAATACCCAATATGTGATGTAAACAATCTTTTCTTGTATTTACTCTTTTTGTTTTGGTTTCCTTTTTCGTTCAAACTTTATTCATAAGCATCATTGACAATGTAGACAAAGTGAACATTACTGTAATGACACTTCAGAGAGTAGAATGACATGAATTAGAGCATAGCACGTGCCCTGTTTAGACTCTATAGGAGACCAGCTCTCTACAATACTTAAAAATCCCAAGGTTATCAAAGAGTCACATTACCCAAACATTACCCCGTTCTCTTACATGGTGGCATTATGGGATAACCTTCATAAAACGAATCCAGAAATTTAAAGTTTAAGTTGAGGATGTTTGTGTGAGCATCAAAAATCAAGTTCAAGTTATATTTCAATTCTCAAGTGGTTCTAGGGGTTGGTTCAACAAACCAAAAACAACCAACTGAACAAAAAAGCTGAATCACAACCTACATAACAACCTAGTATAGTCCTCATTCCGTTAGGGTCTTGGGGGCTAAAATAGATGCAACCTTACCCTTGTAAAAACAGAGAAGCTGTTTCTATTAGACCCTTGATGTATTGCTGCATTTACTACCCTTATCATTTTGAGTTAGACCATCTTTGTTTGAAGCTATAAAGTTAAAACATTGTCCAAACTCCAAAATGGCTTTTTCAGCTTCATTGGCAATGGACGACAATGAAAACCTACATAATTTGAATAAAAAGATTCAAGATTAAACATAAAAAACTAAATCAAACTGGTGTAAATTTGTTGTGGTTTCCTCTTTTGTCCCAAAAACTGACCCAAATCATCGAGCCAAACTAGTGGCTAGAAGACCACTAGAAGGCACCCAGGACTATGGAATATCTTCTTACATTAGTGAACTAATAAACTATATAACTTTGAAAATGATTTTCAGCTTTAAGCCACAAGTTTTCTTAGCACATGATTTTATGGAAGAATCATAGACATAAAAAAGCTACTCCCTCCATCTCTAAGTTTAGAATTATTAAAATAATACTCCCTCCGTCCCACAATTGATACCACACTCTAAAGAACGTGCAAGAAAGTTCAACTGGGTCTGTGTACACACACCCTCCCCATACCCTACTCATGTGGGATTCAACTGGGTTGTTGTTGTACACCGTTCAAAAATACATCAAAAGTTCTACAAAACGACAAGTGACAAGAATATTTTATTTTACCAAATGATCATTGAAAATGCACAAACAAAAGTTATCGAGCAGCTGTAATAGTGACAGTGGCGTCCATTTAGGGACGGAGGGAGTAGAATATAGTGATCCTAGTTTTAGAAGATTTATGATTGACAATTCTCGTTAGGTGAGTCTATTATTCCTATTGGGTTTAGCATCGTTATATGATAATAATACTGTCTTCTTTCTGCTTTCTTAAAAGGGGTTTCATCAATGCAGGTAACTCTAACTCATGGACCAGAAAACATGAAACCTCAAGTGAAAAAGACGGATCAGAGTGGAAATTTTTGTTTTGAGGTATGTTGATGGAAGAGCTTGATAGTAATTGCTTCAGCTCTTTTTGTTTCATCTCACATTTTGCAGCCTGTGATTGCTTAATCTTACATACCATGATAATTAGCTGATACTCTATATTCGGTCAAATGCGTTCTTGAAGTGATATTCTCAGTAACTTAATTTTATTGGAAGAACTCTCTCAGGTTCTGTTTTTTCTTAAACAGAGTTCGTAACCCAGCTATCCAAGTAATTAACCATCTTCAGTGGACCAATGTGCGAGCAGATAGTGGCCTTTTTGAGTTTTACTATATTGTAGTAATCCTAGTTTAATGGCCGGTATGCTAAGATGTCTTTTCAGAGTCAAAAACAAAAATGGAAAAAACATTAGCATGCATATGTTTTTTTTTCCGGAGCCTTTTTATCGTTATTCTAGGATCTTACCTCAAAGTGACCAGTTTTGTTTCCTTGTTTGTTTGATGCTCTATACTATATTAACCCAGATGATAAGCGAAATCAAATTTGCATGTGATTTTGTGTAATACTCGAAAACAAGTAAACTTGATTCTGTGTGTCATTAAATGCTAGTTTAATGAATGGTGTGCTTGTATCTGTTCTAACTATATTTCACAAAAAAGTTTAGTTAATCACAGACCTTTTGCCACAGGTTACGCCAGGGGAATACCGTTTATCTGCAATTGCAGCAACACCTGAAAATTTTCCAGATCTTTTATTCTCCCCTCCTCATGTTGACATTTCAGTCAGAAAGCCAGTATTAGACATTGAATTTAAACAGGTAATTTTGACCACCAAATGTAGTATTGAAGATTTCTTTTGTTGAAGTTCTGACTAAATTTCTTTCTAAGCAGCGCATAATTTGTGAAGCATTGAACTTCAACTAACATAATGCATCTCCTGTACTTTTAAGGTGCAAGTGAGTATAGCAGGATCTGTTGTATGCAAAGAGAAGTGTGGTTCTTCTGTTTCTCTTACTCTTGTGCACCTGGAAGGCAACCACAAGGATCAGAGGAAGCTAACACATTTGACAAATGACAGCAATGAATTTATTATCTCAAATGTCCTTCCTGGTAAATATAGGGTTGAGGTAATATGTTTCCATCTCTGCCTGCTATATCCACACACACACACCCTCCGTACTAAAACTTTCTTCCTAGTTTCTATTAACATGGTCAAACTTTAATCACTTTCATTACCTATTTACTTTAGTTATTTGATAAAATAATATAGTCATGTCACCTTTTGTTTTGAAGAGCTTTAAATGCAGTTTTTAAATGTATATATTTTATTTTAAAATATTACACCTATAATCAACTAAATTGAATTGAAAATAAATTCAGTCAAACCTCGTAAACCAAAAAGGGAAGAATGTTTTAGGACGGAGGGAGTACACCACATATAAATAATATCTAAAACTTGTTTAACTCAAATTGTGCATCATGCTGATTGCACACATATTCATTTAGCTGCTTGAATGATGCAAATGCTATAATGCATATAAGCTTTGTGTATTCTTTAGAATATACTCGCTCGAGCATCCTTTTGTTTTCTTGTACAAGGATATGTAGTCCTGCTTGACGCTTCACTTAAGAATATACCCCATCTCTTCACATTTATTTGTCGAGATTGTCCGTTTATGAAATCTATGCACACCAACTACTTTCTCAGATTTATCTTTCTCATACGATTCAATACATCCTTTTTAATGAGAAACTTTAATTAGTGTCAATTACTGAGGACATTTTTGTAGAAAGTTATCAGTTTTTATTAATTAATCATCCTAATACATTCACATTAATTGTGATCTTGTCTACCTAGACAGGTAGATAGGAATAGAGCATCCATTTTATTTAAGAGAGTGCTTGAATATAGAATGTGTGGACTTGAATTTGCAAAATTTGAAATATCCACTCACCTGAGCCTTTTCTAAATACTAAATAGAAGTTATATTTTCTTTTTTGTATGCTTTTGTTCATTTTCAGGTCAAGAACCCCTTAGTAGCACTTTCTGGGGAAGATAGATGGTGCTGGGATGAAAGTTTTATCAATATTAATGTTGGGACCAATGATGTTAAAGGACTATCATTTGTACAGAAGGGGTACTGGGTTAATATTATTTCAAGTCATGAGGTAGATGCTTTCCTCACACAAGACGGTTCTGTTGTGAACTTCAAGATAAAGGTTAGCTCTATATGATGTTAAAATGGGCATCTCTTAGAGACAACCACAATTTTATGAAACATCTATTTTCATTTGAAGCTCAATATTTTTCTTTCATCCTCCACCATGATTATATTACAGAAGGGATCTCAGCATTTATGTGTGGAATCTCCCGGAGTGCATGAGCTGAATTTTCATAAATCATGTATTTCCTTCAGGAGCTCCTCTCTGATAATTGATACTTCCGATCCATTGGTATTATGTTCACTAGCTTTCAATTATCCAGATTTCATAGTGTGTTTCACTTCTCTCCTCTATCTCTCTTCTCATTACTTATTTTCTTGTTTTTGTAGCCAATCTCTTTGAAAGGAGAGAAATATCTTCTGAAGGGTCATCTTCACGTTGACCCAAGTTCGCTTAGTGGTTCACAAAATATGCCCCAAAACATTCAAGTTGATGTATTAGACACTGAAGGTTCTGTGATTGGTCGTATTGCTGCAATCCCTAGCCATAATGATATTAATCAATCTGTTACTGTTTATGAATATTCAACATGGGCAATACCAGGAGATAAATTCATTTTTGTTCCTCAAGACTCTCGGTATGTAATTACAGTTGCTGCACTTATAATCTGAGCCCTCTTCCTCCTGTATCTTTAGCTTGTTTCCCTGCATGGTTAATATATTAATCCCTGAATCCTTACATATTTATCCAGTGTCCTTACATGGTCTAACTGCCTGTCATCATTGTTAATGAATGCTTAATTTGCTGTTTGGCAGGGGTGATGGGGAAAAAAAGATACTGTTCTACCCCAGACAACAGCATGTATGGAGTGTTATAGTTTTATATTCTTCTGGCATCATTATCATACTCATGTCTGAAGTGCATTCACATTGTATGCTTAGGTTTCTTTGATGCAAGAGGATTGCCCCCCAGTAATTCCCCCATTCTATGGTCGCATAGGATTATATATTGAAGGATCAGTCTCACCCCCCCTGTCTGACATTAACATCAAAATCATTGCTGCGGGGGAAAGCCATAGTGCTCCTCTCAAGCAAGGGGATGTAGCAGCTGAAGCTAGTACAGGGGTAGACGGATTTTATGTTGCAGGGCCTTTATATGATGATGTTAATTACCACGTCGAAGCTTCAAAGGTTTGTTTTAACGGAAAGGATTCATTAATATGTGTTTTTTTCCGACTGAAATTTACTGAACTGAATTGAACTGTTGCTTGCTCATCTTAGTTTTCAAATTTTACCTCTTGTCCATTTTTGATTCTTAAAGCCCTGTTCTGTATGTTTGCCTAACTAGCAGGTGTAGTTGGTGAGGTTAGAGTTGCTATAATGGAAAATGATGTCATAGGGTTGTGTCGTTCACGGGGGGAGGGGCTAGGGAGGAGATTTAAGAGAGTGTCTGAGTTGAGAGTTGGGTTGTGGAACATAGCGACTTTGAGAGGGAAATTGATAAAGTTGGTGAAGACCCTTAAAAAGAGGAAGATTAATTTAATGTGCATCTAAGAAACCAGATGGGTGGGTACCAAATCTAGATAGGTGGAGACATAGGGACATATAAGTTATGGTACGAGGAACAAGAACAGGCTAGGCATTTTGGTTGATATGGACCTCATGTTGATGACCATCAAGCTTGTGGTCAACAAGAGCACCCTAAACGTTGTTTTCTCTTACGCATCCCAAGTGGGGCTAGAGGAGGAAGTCAAGAGGAAGTAGATGTGTTGTTTGTAAGTATTCCGGTGCCAGAAATGTTAGTCATTGGCTCATTGCAATGTTCCAAATGGCATATTGCATATATGAGACATGCAAGGCATTTTCCCTCAAGGTCAGCGTACACCCCCAATCCCAATTTTGGGACTCTACTGGGTCGTTGTCGATGTTGATTTGAATCAACTGAAGTGAAATGTTAGTTGTTTTTACTGAAAAATGTTGAACTGAATTCAACTAATTGAAAATAAGTTGAAAACTTGAAATGTACAGACTCTTTTCATCTCAATCAGTTGATTATGTTTTCATAATTTTTGACGTATTAATTTGGGTCTGTCTTATGATATAATATATACACTCTTCTGGGGGCTCGATGGTGTTGAGTACAAAATATTAAAACTGTGTACATTACTATTAACTAAGCTAGTAGCTGGAGTGAACATATCATCTGAAAAATAGGCTGAAGACATACATCGATGTTCACAATGCGTCACTATCCTACTTAAATATCTTGTATGTTAATTCACTAGAGAACTGTTATATGCTGGTCTCTCACCATTTTGTTAAACTTTCATGCAGTCTGGTTATCATATAAAGCCTGTAGGGCCTCATTCATTTTCTTGTCAGAAGCTTGGTCAAATATATGTGCGCATTTATTCAAATGAAGATATAAGAGAGCCTTTTCCATCAGCCCTCTTGTCGTTGAGCGGGGAAGATGGTTATAGGAACAATTCAGTAACCGGTGTTGGCGGAACTTTTATTTTTGACAACTTATTTCCAGGGAGTTTTTATCTCCGGCCTCTGCTTAAGGTAATATTCGAGATAATGTTTGTATGATTAAGTGAGTTTTAATCGCCTAAAACACAAGTGTTTGAACTTTCTTTTAATTGGCCATATTTGACCTTACGTCCTTACCACTAAGGAACCAATCTGATGTTGTTTTTGACATTTTGAAAATTCTGTGGATTCTGAAATTTGCAATTACCTGTGTATATAAAAACATTCATAATTTCTAGGATCTCAAAATCATAAGATTCACACAAATATTATGTCAGACGTCAAATCGTGCTTGTGATTGGTTTTTTGTTTGTAGGAGTATGCTTTCTCACCTCCTGCACAGGCAATTGAACTTGTTTCTGGTGAATCCAAAGAGATAGTTTTTCATGCTACTCGAGTTGCATACAGGTATACCGTATACATACAAAATTGGTCGTTATACTCACCCCTTCAAAAAGTCCGTAGGTAGTATTAACCCGAGTCTAGGAAATCTAAACATTTTAAAAGTTTTGCCAATATTTGAGTCTAGAATTTGAAATGTATATATGTTTAACATTTTACATGAAAACGTCCATGCTATGGAGACGATTTAATACATTTCAAGAACATATAAATAGTTAAGCACAACAATTCATATTCGTCTGATACATGACTCAAATGATGTCTCAACGTTTATGAAAATATTGCAAAATGGCATTGTATTAATCATAGAAACCGTAGAAAACATTAAACCCCTTACATATTAGGTTGTGACTCACAACGAAGTGCACTTCAAGTGGTCAAACACTTGATGCACACGTGACATGTCATGGGTTGTAGCCCATGCACCAATGTTACTCTCCCGAAAGAGGAGGCCACTTTCATGCTGCTGAGTTACTGAACTTATTGGTGCACGAAAAGGCGAGAAGCAAAGATCATCATTGAATTAGCATTTAATTGCTTCAGTCACGTGTCACTACCAGGCCGGTAGCGGGGCTACAACCAAAAGTCTATAGTTCATGGTGGGGTCAAATGGTTCCATCACCCTCCGCACCATATAGAAAATGACAGTAAAATTATATCTTATTGATTTTCCCTGCATATGACAGTGATGAAATGTCATTTGAGTGATTATGATACCAGCTAGATGTCATCCTGCATAAAAAGTAATAAAAAATGCCCCATGATGTGCCAGACTTGATGCAATCGGGAACACCTTTCTCCTTGAATTGCATTTTGTATATCCATACAAGAATTTAGTAATTTACATTTTCTCTTCATATGATGTTGCATATAGTATATTTGAACTTATATATGCATGAGTTGATGATTCGGTGTGTTCCTTCGTTCCTGTTATTCGTTTTTATGTGGTTCAACCTTACCAGTGCCATGGGAGTTGTCACTGTTCTGTCTGGTCAGCCAAAAGAGGGTGTTTCAATAGAAGCTCGAGCAGATTCAGAAGGCTTTTATGAGGAAACCTTAACTGACTCAACAGGAAACTATCGGCTGAGGGGTCTTTTACCTGACACTACGTATGAAATCAGAGTTTTGAGAAGGGTTGGTTATGGTAACCATCATATTGAACGTGCATCTCCAGAGTCTATAACCATTAAGGTTGGAATTTTGCACTTTTGTCCTGTTGCATATGCAATAAAACCTCATTCCATCATTATTGCATCCGTTATTCCATTTTAATTTCATCCGTTCTTCGCTATAACATTAAGTTTAGTTGCTATCAAGAGCCTGCATTTAGATACCTACCATCCATTGCCAATGGACCTTAAAGAGTGACTATTGAAAATATTTTAGCTTTGCGCACATAATGGACGAAACCAAAGTGACACAAACACATTAAACTTACCTTGCTTCTTTTTTTTTTCTGTGCAGTTTTGGGGTAGTAAATGCACCAATGCATGTAGCCATGTAGGGTGTAACAGATATAGTCTCTCTGTCTTTACAAGGATAACTTTGTTTATTCCAAAGTTGTGATTTCTTCATTCCTCGAAGAGAAAGCCAGCATTTATCTTCTTAACAATAATCTTTGATGTTGATAGGAAGGATATTCAAAATGCATAAGAGGAAAGACATTGAGTCCCTTAGATGGTATTAGGGTTTGTAATGATTCCATGGTTAAATTTAGGGACACACATTACTCCTATCTTTGCCAGAATGGTACTTGAATATAACCAATGAATTAGTTTTACATCTCTGTAATGAAAGAAGGCCCTGACCCACATACGAGTTAAAAACACCAATACCTCTCTTTTCAGAACTTGGCTCGTACAAAGTAAACAATAAGAAAAGAAAAATATTTTACTCCAATCATCAAGCTTTATGACAGATACAAAACACCCCTCTGAAGCTGGTGGCATGGTGCATATATGTCATATTTACAAAGCATGTTACAAATGCAGGCTATCTGAGGTCTTCTTAAAGAGATGGTGAATTTATCCCTAAGTTGATTGTGACGTGTTAATTTTCTTAGACAGAAATTTATCCCGTATGAAATGACAATCAGTCTCTATATTTTTAGTTCTTTTATACTCCATCTGTCCCTAAATAAAAGTCATAGTTTGACTTCACGAAGTTTAATAAAGTTGTTGAAAAGTGAAGTGTGTGGATAAAAATTGTTTCGAGGAGAGAAAATGATATTAGCCACTTTTTCATTTCCTTTAATTGAAATAAAAGAATTGAGAAGTTAATTTTTTGAGACAGATGGAAAAAGAAAGTGAGAATTTTATTTAGGGATGGGAGGATTACAAAACTAGATGGGGGCCAATATGATTTATGAAGAGTCTTGATCATCATAAATAATAGATTTAATTTCGGGGTGTAACTTTGCACCATCTTTTTTTCTCTTGGTGCAAAGTTTACACCCTGAAATTAAACTTTGCACCATCTTAATTCTTGAAGTAAATACTTTGGCGAGATGAGTATATTTGTAGTGAGTGCAATGGCCCTATACTTCGCTTCAAGATTCAACATTCCAGCAGCACCTTGTTTTGTTAGTTTTTCATGCATTATAAGATATCTTTCAGCAGTGATAACACTAATTCAGCTTGCTCATAAGTTTTCATACTGCTTTGGATCAGAATATGGCTCTTCTTGGTTGGCCAAAAGTCCAACATTTGGATCCATAGGAGTGTCGACTGGTTTGGAATTCAACAACCTAGTTTCGTTTGAGTTTCGGAATGCATAATTTTGTTGGCGTATGGAAACACATGTTTATGGAATAAGCAGCCTCAATACTGAAAAAGTACCGCATTGTCCCTAGATCCTTTGTTAATGTAACATGACAAATGGTGCTCGAGATAAACATCAGTTTGTCATTACTTGTAATGTCATCCATATTAGCTACTCCCACCGTCCCACAAGAAACTTTACACTTTCCTTATTTAGATGTCCTCCAAAAAAACTTCACACTTTGGCCTACAAAATTTCTCCCTTCTAAATACATTTCACCCATACACTTTTCACTTTTCAACATTTTTCTTGAATACTGTGAAGTCAAAGTTGGAAGCTCTTTTCGGGACAGAGGGACAATAGCAGAGTAGAGTCTGGGGAGGGTATGTGTACATAGACCTTACCCCTACTCCAAAGTAGAGATGTTGTTTCCATGAGAGTGATGAGACAGGGAATACTAGAACCTTGCCCTACATATATATGTAAGAAAGCATTGTTCATATCAAGCTGATTTAATGGCCAGTGCAAGATAGCTGCTTTGGACAAAATGAGAGAAGTAGATGCTATTTTAGCAACCAGACAAAATGCTTCACTCTAATATATGTAGCAAAGCTCATCTCTTGAGTGCACCCTGTTAGGTAGACCAACTGTAGTAGTGGTATTAGTGTATAACTATCCATTCAATAAAGTTTGGTGTTGCTAGGTCTTTCCTTCCCTAAGATTTAAGAATTTATTGGTTGTGCTTGCTTGATTATAGGTCGGGACTGATGACTATAGGGGGTTAGATTTTGTTGTATTTGAAGAGCCAGAGATGACCATGGTAAGCTGCCATGTCGTGGGGCATAAAATGAAAGACTTTCAACCAGAAATTCAGGTGGAAGTTAAGTCTGCAACTCACCCAATGAAGATTGAATCTGTCTTCCCGCTGCCTCTTTCAAACTTTTTCACGTTGAAAGACTTGCCCAAAGGCAAACACCTTCTGCAACTCCGGTCTGCTACGCTATTGGGCACCCACAGGTTTGAATCGGAAGTAATTGAGGTTGATTTAGAGAAAAATAGGCAAATTCATGTAGGCCCTCTCAGATACAGAATTGAAGAGGATCACCAGAAACAGGTATGCCTCTGTTTTACTAAATGTCTAACTTGGCTCCCTTGCAAGTTTTTATTTTTTCTCTAGTGTCTTTTATTGACAAGCTAATATTCTATGGGGTCTGTTTGGAGCTGCCACAGAACAGAAAAAGTGCCAAGGAAAAGTCTTTTTTTTATGTTATTTGCACACTGAAAAAAATGAAGGAAAACCAAGCTTTATTAAATATTTATAGATATTTACATACATTTAGACTTCGCAATCTTTATATAACAAAAAATATAAAAAGTAAAGTGATTTATTTATTTTGTACTATCTTTTTGCCAACTTCTCTCCGATTTTCTTTCTGTTTTCTCTCACAAGCTTTTTCTGGGTTTCTGAAATATATTATGTAATTATTTCATCCTTTAATTTCTTTTTTTGCAAATGGTCCTCCCACTAACTTTTTAAATTTTAAGTTCATGTTGAATATGTTTTTAGTCCTTATAGAATTAGCAATTTTGTTTTTGGCGCCTGTAAGATTTTTTAAGTCCAAAGTGATTTTGTTTTTTAGTCCTTGTAAACCCTTGCAGGGATGTCTTAACTAAAAAATATTTCAAAGGGACCAAAAACAAAAGGGACTCATTTTACAAGTACCTAAAACATATTTAACTCTATTTCTGTTGCGTGCTTTCTCAAATTTCCCTTGTTATCTTCAGGAATTGACTCCAGTTCATGCATATCCTCTCATTGTTGGAGTCTCAGTTATTCTACTCTTCATTAGCATGCCGAGGTAGAAATTAAGCTTCAATTGCTGGGGATTCTCTTTCATCGATTGAACAATTCTGTTTCATTCTCCTTTCATAACCATTTTCCAAAAAAAGCCTCTTATTTTAAGTGGAACCGGGCTCCTTTTGAAAACGGTACTCTGCAGATTGAAGGATTTATATCAAGCCATTGCTGTGATGGTAATGTCTGCTGCATCAGGATCAGGCAGCAGCATAAGAAAAGATGCGAGAAAGACATCCGCAAGGAAAAAGACATACTGAAGTCTTTCCATCTTGCACTGGACAATTGACAAACGGTACGTCTAAATTCAAACGCATCGTCTCAGTTCTGTGAAAGCATGAAACTTGTGATGGATGGCGAAATTTTCAAAGGCGCTACGGCTCTGTAATCTGTCTGAACATGACTAGCTGATAGATCGTTAGTTCCAAAATTCGAAGTCCTTTTTTTTGTAACATTTATAAACGGCGTGTAAGGAAATATTAGCGCTCCCTCTTGTGGGAAACATTTCTAAGAGCGTCTTTTCTTTTCTTTTCTTTTTTTTGGTTATTTATTTATACACATTCCTCTTTTCGAGATTGATTAAAGTTATTTTCAATACAATTTTAGAATTGGACCGGAATCAAAAGAAAACATAATCTGCATATTAAAAAATTAAATCAAAAGCTCTACTAAATTGTATATTATACCATCACATTTGTAACAAAAGTCAAGAAAAAAATGAATAAAATTTGATCATGTGAATGGTAAACATGTACCTTAATTTGGGACGGAGAGAGTATTAAGCTTTTAAATAAGGCTACAAGTACACTAGACTTTCGTTAAAAAGACTACGCAAATCTTGTGCAAAACAAGTTGCTATATGTTATAGTGTGATATACAATGCTCTATGAACGTTGGGTAAATACTCATTTAGGGGTAATAAAATGTTCATGTTTTTGCATTATATATTCATTTTAGTTATTTATTTGTCTGATAGTCATTTGCGAATAACACCATATTCATTTTGCACATTTATTTTGAGATTTATTCAGAACAAGTAGTTTAAAATGTATGTGTATACACATTTAAGAACTGCATAATGTTATTATAATTATACAAGTTCCTTCCCCAGAAGATGTTGTGCTTCTTCATGTTCCTTCCCATCGAAGGGAATGGCTGTCCATCATCGATCTTTTCCAGCCTTAACTGTTCTCTTCATCTCCATCGAAGGGGATCATGGGCTTCGCGGTCGAGCTTAGATACAACTCTACTTCCGCTTCTCTTCTACCGTGTAGCTGGAGTTTTCTCGCCTTAAGATGTACGGAAAGTATCGGATGTATGAAAAGAATTGTACAATCGGCAAGTATAAAAATGTTTAGGCTGTGCATATATCCCAATGTATTATACAAATTGCCCAATCCAGAAAAAATAAAGCAAACACATTTTCATGGCATTCGAAATTAATTTAAAATTTTAAATAATTTTTAAATAGTAGAATGACGAAATCTCTCTAAATATGAGTAGAACATAGAAAAAAATATCAAAATATTAGTTCACATTGCGGTAATGTGATATTATAAATAAACATTTCACAATATTTTTTGGAGTAATGTATATGCTAATGACTGACATTGTAATCGTATTTTAAATCTTATTTCGGAAATAAAAATATGAAACTCTTATTTGGATATATTTTCAATATTTACTCATACTTTAATTTTTTTTAATAATACAAATAAAATCTAGAAATACTAAATTCTTAATTTAACCGATAGCTTTCTCAAATTAAATAAATTTAAAACAATTAATGTTAATCGGAACCTGACAAACATGGCGTTAGAAGCCCAATTTATGGGAAAAATTATAAGCTGGGCCGACCCAATAGATTTTCCAATAGGGTGAATCCGTATATATCCACGACGCATTCCATATTTCCATCCCATCTCTGCTCCCTCCATATAGAGTGAGGCTGGTGACAAATTTCCCCTAAATCAACGCGGGTCGGGTCCAGAATATCCTCGGTATCGTTCCCAATATTACCCTGTGCGGTGGACGGCGAGGAGTTTTGCTCCTCTCGTAAGATTCGATTGATGGGAACTGAGCGGAAGAGGAAGGTGAGTTTGTTCGACGTGGTGGACGACGGCTCGACGAAGGTGGCGAAGCTCAACGGTCTGGGTTCTCCCATGCTTCCGGGAAACGTCTCCCTGTCTTCCTCTGTCAATAAGTGGACTGGTAAGCCCTACTCCCAGAGGTACCTTGAGATCTTGGAGAAGAGGAAGACTCTTCCTGTTTGGCACCAGAAAGATGAGTTCTTGCAAACTTTGAAAGACAATCAAACCCTCATCTTGGTCGGTGAAACCGGCAGTGGTAAAACCACTCAGGTCTGTTCGATTTTTTCCCTCTTTGGCTGGCTTTGAAATGCCATCGCTCTTGTGCCATAACTGCCTACACATTTGGGATTGATCTATACTTTTTTCTATCATTTTTATGTTATCTAAAGTTCTGTTTTTTTTCTTTTCAATTCCTGTTGTATATGATCTTATTTCATATTGGATACTGAAAATATTAAGAGGAGAATTAATACTCCCTCTGTGGGCTTTCTTGTGAAATACTAGTTTCATTCCTTCATGGAATGAGGAATTCTATTTGGGACGCCCAAAAAAGGAAAACAGGATAGTCTTTTAGAAGATGTCTGACCTTTGGGAGGCAAACAGCCTCTCTACTTTCTAGTAGGGGTAAGTTCTGCATCCACATCCTCCACAGACACAACGAACTGGGTTGTTGTTGTGTGATGTCTGACGCTTTGAGGCAATGTATCATGTACTGTCTAGAATTTAGCTTTAGTATTCTGGAAGGAAAAAGTTTTTCTTGAGAATAAACCCAACTACCAGATAATCACAACAATAAACAGTTTGAAATGTTTCCATTGCTTGGGTAACAACACTGTAACTCTCCAGCTGAATTATCTTACGAAGACTGGAGTAATATAGTAATTTCACAGTTTTCATAACCATTAAGAAACATCATCTCCTTCTAGGTCAAATTAGCTGCAAGACAAGTTTTTTTCCTTCCCTTCAAGTGTGTGTGAGGTAATGAGAGTATTGAGCCCCCATATGCTTTACACTTTCCAAATTCGCGTGTAAAGTCACATGCAGCATAATCTTATCAAAGAGGGCAGGAAATTTTTATCTTTATAACTGGACTCAAAAGTGTATTTTATGCTTCATCAAAGTGAATAATGCGTATGATCCACTTTTAAATGCTCCTGTTTCAAATGTTTAACTCTCATATCTTTCTACTTGTGACAGATACCCCAGTTTGTCCTTGATGCCATTGAGGTGGAAACCCCTGATAAACGTAGGAAGTATATGGTTGGGTGCACTCAGCCACGGAGGGTTGCTGCTATGTCTGTTTCTCGTCGAGTTGCTGAAGAGATGGATGTGACTATTGGAGAGGAAGTGGGTTATAGCATTCGTTTTGAAGATTGCAGTAGTGCTCGTACAGTTTTGAAGTAATTATGAACATATTATTAATTTTGCTCGTTGAAATTTACCGCTGTGTTCCATTTTCAACCATTATTTCTTGCAAACAGCCAATTGTTTACTGAGCCTTGTATGTTTTGTTAACAGGTATTTGACAGATGGTATGCTCCTAAGAGAAGCCATGACCGACCCTCTTCTGGAAAGATACAAGGTTATAATTCTTGATGAGGCTCATGAAAGGACTCTGGCAACTGATGTTCTATTTGGGCTTCTTAAGGAGGTCTTGAAAAACAGACCGGACCTCAAGCTAGTTGTTATGAGTGCAACTCTTGAGGCTGAAAAATTTCAGGGTTATTTTTACGGTGCACCTCTCATGAAAGTTCCTGGTCGGTTACATCCTGTGGAAATCTTTTACACGCAGGAGCCCGAGAGGGATTACCTTGAAGCAGCAATTCGAACTGTGGTGCAGATTCATATGTGCGAACCTCCTGGTGACATCCTTGTTTTTCTAACTGGAGAGGAAGAGATTGAGGATGCATGTAGGAAGATTACAAAAGAAATTAACAATTTGGGAGATCAAGTGGGCCCAATTAAAGCGGTTCCTCTTTATTCGACACTCCCTCCCGCAATGCAACAGAAGATTTTTGAACCTGCTCCCCCGCCACTGGTGGCAGGTGGTCCTCCTGGAAGGAAGGTGGTTGTGTCTACAAATATTGCAGAGACGTCATTGACTATAGATGGTATAGTATATGTTATAGATCCAGGGTTTGCAAAGCAAAAAGTTTACAACCCCCGAGTCCGTGTTGAATCTCTGCTGGTCTCTCCTATTTCAAAAGCAAGTGCTCACCAAAGATCTGGACGTGCTGGAAGAACACAGCCTGGAAAATGTTATAGACTTTATACAGAAAAGAGCTTTCAAAATGATCTTCAACCACAGACATATCCTGAAATTCTCCGATCAAACCTTTCTAATACTGTTTTAACTTTAAAGAAACTAGGGATTGATGACCTGGTCCATTTTGATTTTATGGATCCACCCGCACCAGAAACATTGATGAGAGCTTTGGAGGTTTTGAATTACCTTGGGGCTTTGGATGATGAAGGAAACCTGACAAAATTGGGCGAAATCATGAGTGAGTTACCCCTAGATCCTCAAATGGCAAAAATGCTCGTTGTTAGCCCAGAATTCAACTGCTCCAATGAGATTCTTTCTGTATCTGCCATGCTATCAGGTATCATTTTACTATTTACTTTTTCTATTTGTCGAGTATGTGACTGTGGTCTTTGTTCACATTACTGTTGGTCTTGTCTGGCTGGGAAGTCTTCTTCTCCATGCCTTCATCTTTTTCGTGCATAGATATGATTCTATGCACCCATGGATGTTGTGGACTGCACACATGAGCACAAGTGTGCACATGTGTGTGGTTTTCTGTGTCATCTTAGGTTGTCATCAGCAACTGTCTTGTATGGATTCCATGCCCCCCGCTGGCATGCACCATAGAGGTTCTAAGCTAGTGCTGATGCAGATAGTTGCAGTTTCTCAGTATTCTCTCATGAAGCAAATGGTATCGTCTGGCCTCTATGCATCTGCTGACCACACAGTGGACCCTCCTCTGTGATAACCACTTTTTTCTATAGTACCCAACTGCTTTATCCGGCCTAGGGAGGCTCAAAAAGCTGCGGACGAAGCGAAGGGTCGTTTTAGTCACATTGATGGAGATCACCTCACGCTGCTGAATGTATACCATGCCTACAAGCAAAATCGTGAGTTCACTTTTATTTGTGCCTTTTCAATTTTAAGAATTTGACAAGTTGTGGATTATAAGAGTTTGTTGTATTTACAGAGGAGGATCCACAGTGGTGCTATGAGAATTTCATCAATCATAGGGCTCTCAAGTCTGCAGACAATGTAAGGCAGCAACTAGCACGCATTATGGCTAGATTCAACCTCAAGCTATGTAGCACAGACTTCAACAGCCGTGACTACTACATCAACATAAGAAAGGCCATGTTGGCTGGCTATTTCATGCAGGTGGCGCATATGGAACGCACCGGTCACTATTTGACAGTGAAGGACAATCAAGTATGTTCTCTTTCCTGTACAAATGCACCAGCTATTTGTGGAGTAACTTTTAGTCTTTTATATGTTCATTAATTAGCTTTTCTTGAAATGTGGTAAATGTAGGACAAGCTTTTATTAGATGTGTGGCACTAATTAAATTTGATATGACAAAATGTGTATTTGTAGGAGGTTCACCTACACCCTTCAAACTGCCTGGACCATAAGCCAGAATGGGTTATATACAATGAATATGTGTTAACGAGCAGGAAATTCATACGCACAGTGACTGATATCAGAGGAGAATGGTCAGTTTTTTATATATTTAAATTATGTTTCTACTTTATGTCTTGCATCTTTTGTTCATTAATGTGGAGTTCACCATATTTGCGTTGGATTTGGGGGGGGGGGAGGGAATAGGAAACTTCACCAATTGATTGTCTATTTTGAGTTCTTGCTGCTTTTTCTGCTTAAAAAATGGGAACTTTTGAACCAACAAGATCCATATATTATCTGTGCCTGTTGCTCTTTTCGTTTCATTCTATTGGAGTTGTGAGTTGGATCAGAGAGTCATTTTCTGCTTAGAAGTACGGTGTAATGAAGGAAAGCAGAGTAAAAGAAATCTTACTGCTTGTTTGTGGTCCATTACATGGGATACAGGTTGATTGACATTGCACCGCATTATTACGATATCACAAATTTCCCACAGTGCGAAGCAAAGCATGTTCTTGACAGGCTGTACAAGAAGAAGGAGAGGGAAAGAGGAGATCAGCATAACAAGAAAAAGAAGTGAAAGGGGCCTTGCCGGCGTTGCGGGGGGTGTCTTGGGATTCAATACATTGTCTCTCTCCCTCCCTCTATGATGATGGGATGGATTTATTGGTGTTTTCTTTGAGAAGATGAGAGGACTTATCTTTTGTACCATTCAGATTCAGGAATATAGGTTCGTTTTAAGGTTCGTTTTAAGGTTCTATTAGTATACTAGAGCCTCGTTTAGAAATGGTGTTTTCAATTAATGTTTAAGGTTATTATTTAATACTATATGTGTTTGAGTGTATTTGTCTAATCTTGTTTGTTTCATACAAATTGGATAAATTCTGGGCATCAATTACTCTTAAGTCTTGTTTGGTACATGGAATTTAAACTATGGAATTGGAATTGGAGACTTCAATTCCAATTCTGGTGTTTGGTAGCACAAAAATTATGTGGATTTGGAATTGATAGTGCAAAAAATGAATTGGAATTGGAAGAATTCAATTCTATGGAATTGAATCCCATGAAATTTCAATTTCAATTCCACCAATTCCGCATAATAATGTTCAACATTTTTAAAGTTTTCAACAAGATAAATATAGTATAAATAAGTTTTATATTAATATAAATAACTCTTTTTGTTTAATTAAAGTTCAAAATTTACCCACTTTGACTAAAGAAGTTAAATTAAAAAATTTAATTGGGATGTAATGACGTAGAGAATGTTCTGTATCTTTCTCTCCATTCCAAGTTGAATCGCCTAATGTTTGAATTAAGTTATTTTTAAATTATTTTATATTAGAATAGTGTAGAATTAAATGACTAACAAATTGTGACATGACTAAAAAATTATATCAAAATACCTACAAAAGCAATTGTGACATGACTATATTATTTTATTAAATGATTAACAAAAATAGATAAAAATTAAAAAATTTTGATTATGTGAATAATAAATATGCAATTTAATTTGGAATGGAGGGAGTGCATACTTTTTTCATCTTTGAGTATTTTTTAATTTTGACTTTTGGTGATCAATAGTTTTCAATATTTAACCGATAATTAAATAAAATTTACTCTGGGTATAGTAGATATTTTTTGGATAAAATAATATTTCAAAAATATTTAATGAAATGAATCTAATAAAATTATTTTTTGCTCTGACCCATTATTATTATTCTTTTATATGGAGTATTATTTTTTCCACTGTCGTCCTAAAATGTTTCAAAATTATATTAAGGTCTCCTAAAAAATAAACAGGCATACAAATTAATTTGCCAAAGTTATATTTACGTATTCTAAAAATGTAATGTAAAATAACCACACATTCAATCATCGAGTTCTTAAAAAAATTCCGACCACACAATTGAAGATGTAACAATATAATGAGAAAATCATTTTCATTAAAAATCACATTCTTCTCCTAATTTTTTTATTGGAAGTATTTTCTTTGAACGAAACTGACCATAAAAGATACAGAGTAAATTTTTTAGAATAAATTCTCAAATGGTCTATTCTAATAAAGTTTTTTTTCTAAATTAGACCTCAATAAATTCTAATTACCCACTTGATTCTTTACAATTGGGATCTATTTCCAAATATTTTAAGAATTTTTAATAGTTTATGAATTATGTAGAGTCAAGGATTGTTTTAATTTTACATGAAATTGTATAAAAATGAGCATTTTGAAAATTTTACTTTTAGATGATAGAAGTGCCAAAATAATTGTCAATTATCACCATTTAAGTGATATTTTTTACGAAGAACAACTTAAGTAATATATCTCAATCATAAAATACCATATAGGTATAATTAGAATTTATTGAAAACTAATTTTTGAAAACACCTTATTCAAAAGGGCCATATTATTAATTTATTCGATATTTTATATCGTTTGATGAAAGTAAGGTGGGATCAAACACACAAATTACTTGTACCTCTTTTTAAAGAAAAAGTTACTCACTCTTCAAAACTAAAGTCACATATTCAGCAATGTACTCTTGAATTTTTATTTTAAAATATTTTGCTAATATTTGAATAAACATAATCAAAATAAATTCAGTCAACAATCATAATTTTCAAAATTTCACTCTGTAAAATTTTCAAAATTTTACTCGGTATAATTTAATTATTTCACCCACTTTTGAGTTTTGACCCTCTTTCACTCCTTGCCATTTTTATGCTACATTTACTTGCCCTGCTCCCTTTTCACCCTCTTTTACTCCATACCCGCCTTGGGCTACATCAATTTTACTGTGACCGCCTTTTTCTGTTGACCAAGTACACACGCAACGCTCCACTCTCTCCGTACGAGGATGCTTTTTTCCAGTTTACACTGTTCATCGGCCGTTTGGCGCGCAGTACAAAATCATATTGTACAGTTTCCGTTGGCTATCAGAGACTGAAAGCCATGGAAGAAGCTTGGGTACAAGAACAAATGGCAAAAACCGTAGCTTTCCTGAACATTGATGACGGAGAGGAAGAAGAAGAAGAAGAAGACTATATCACCGTCGAGGAAGACGACTGCGTCGCACCCATGATCGACTTCAGCCTCTGCCTCGTCGGGAAATTCATCAACGGAAGACACGGAAGCTTTGAAACAATAAAGAATTTCTTCGCCTCGATATGGAAGCCATTGATGGGAATGGCTGTGACAGAGATCGAGGCGGGCTTGTACGTGTTCAAATTCTACAGCGAGGCGGATCGTGACCGGGTAATGGATTTGTGTCCCTGGTCGTACAGAAGCCAGTTGCTCATTCTTGAACCCATGGGGAAACACACTGATCCCAGAGATGTTCCCCTGCATCATGCCTATGTGTGGGTGCAAGTAACCGGATTGAAATGTGGATACGTGTCCGAGAGAATCGCCGAGAAGATTGGGAATGATGTGGGAGAGTTCCTGGAGACAGATCAAGCGAGCTTTGGGCTGTGGAGCAAACATTTGCGCATTAGAGTTAAACTAGATTTGAGGAAGCCCTTGAAGCGAGGAACACGGCTGAGGAAAGGAGAGAATGAGTGGATCCATGTTAGCTTTGGCTATGAAAAAATCTCTTCTTTCTGTTATATATGTGGATTGCTTGGCCACAGTGACAGTGTGTGTCCCGAAACACTCACTCACCCGGGGAGATATCTAGAGAGAAAATATGGACCTGAGTTGAGAATTGACCCGAGAAAAGAAGTGGGAATTGGAGCTAAGTGGCTGAAGGAAGATGAATGGTTCTCTGGAGGAAGACCAAGTTCATCTGGAGAAAATACAGCTGTAAGAGCTGAAAAAAATGGTCTGCAAACTCAGAGGACGAAGCTAATGTCACCAAATGGCAAGGAGAAAGTTAAAGAAAAGGATGGGGAAGCTACAGCCTTAACGAAAGAAAAGACAAGGAAGAACACCGAGGATACCTCAACGGGGATGGTGAAAAGAATAGACAAAATAACAGGAGACGTAATTGGACCAAGCCAGAGGGGAATTAATACCCATCTCCTTTTGCTAAACCAGAGATTGGCGTGTTGTAGAACAGATTCCGGCTTGGCAATGATCACCAGTTCAGGGCAACAACTTTGTCGCGCCACGTCTGCCCCTATCAATAGGTGGACTGGAAGGCCCTACTCCCAGAGGTACTATGAGAAACTGCAGAAGAGGAAGACTCTTCCTGTTTGGCATCATAAAGATGCGTTCTTGAAAGCCTTGAAAGACAATCAGACCCTCATCCTGGTTGGTGATTCGGGTATTGGTAAAAGCACGCAGGTCAGTACGTACGAGTCACTAAATAACATATTACTTGGTTGATCATAATCTCATTGCTCTTTGTCTTTGTTTCAGATACCCCAGTTTGTCCTTGATGCCATTGTTGTGGAATCCCCTGATAAGCGTAGGAAGTATATGATTGGATGCACTCAGCCACAGAGGGTTGCTGCTATGTCTGTTTCACGCCGGTTTGCCGAAGAGATGGACGTGACATTTGGAGAGGAAGTTGGTTATAGCATTCATTTTGAAGACCGCTCTAGTGCTCGGACAGTGTTGAAGTACTATAACAAACCTATTTGGAACAAATTATGTACAACAATTATTTTATGCAATACTTTCATATATATATATATATATATATATATATATATATATATATATATTGCTTAAAGCCAAGTGGTTATTACCTTTTTTGTAATAGGTATTTGACAGATGGTATGCTCTTAAGAGAAGCCATGATAGACCCTCTCTTGGGAAGATACAAGGCTATCATTCTAGATGAAGCTCATGAAAGGACACTGGCTACTGATGTTCTATTTGGGCTTCTTAAGGAGGTGTTGAGAAACAGACCCGACCTCAAGCTAGTTGTCATGAGTGCAACTCTTGAAGCTGAGAAGTTTCTGGGTTATTTTTATGGCGCACCTCTCATGAAAGTTCCTGGTCGGCTACACCCTGTGGAAATCATTTACAATCAGGAGCCCGAGAGGGATTACCTTGAAGCAGCAATTCGAACCGTGGTGCAGATACACACATGTGAGCCTCCTGGTGACATCCTGGTTTTTCTAACTGGAGCCGATGAGATTGAGGATGCATGTCGGAAGATAACAAAAGAAGTTAACGATTTGGGAGATAAAGTGGGTCCCATTAAAGTGGTTCCTCTCTATTCCACACTTCCTCCCGCGATGCAACAGAGGATCTTTGAAACCGCTCCCCTGCCACTTGTGGCAGGTAGTCCTCCTGGGAGGAAGGTGGTTGTCTCCACAAATATCGCGGAGACATCATTGGCTATAGATGGTATAGTATATGTTATTGATCCGGGGTTTGCAATGCAAAAAGTTTATGACCCCAGAGTCAGTGTTGAATCTCTGCTGCTCTCTCCTATTTCAAAAGAAAGTGCTCACCAAAGATCTGGATGTGCTGGAAGAACACAGCATGGAAAGTGTTATAGACTCTATACAGAAAAGTGCTTTCATAACGTTCTCCAACCACAGACCAGTCCTGAAATATTTCGATCAAACCTTTCTACTACAGTTTTAACTCTGAAGAAACTGGGGATCGATAACCTGGTGCGCTTCAATTTCTTGGACCCACCCGCACCAGAAACATTGATGAGAGCTTTGGAGGTTTTGAATTGCCTTGGGGCTTTGGATGATGAAGGAAACCTGACAAAATTGGGTGATATCATGAGTGAATTCCCCCTGGATCCTCAAATGGCAAAAACGCTTGTTGTCAGCCCACAATTCAGCTGCTCCAATGAGATTCTTTCTTTATGTGCCATGCTATCAGGTATCATTTTGTTACTCTTTACTATTGCTATTTGTCGATTATGTGAGTAGTTTATGTTCCACTACCTTTTTTTGTAGCACCCAACTGCTCCATCCAGCCTAAAGAGGGTCAAAAAACTGCAGACGAAGCGAAGGGTCGTTTTAGTCACATTGATGGATATCACATAACACTGCTGAATGTTTACAATGCTTACAAGCAAAATAGTGAGTGTATATTCCTTTTTTTAAACACTCTTTCAATTTTAAGAATTCAATAGGCTATTGATTATAATTAATCTTGTTTGTGGGGTTTGTTGCTTTTTCAGATGGGGATCTGCTGTGGTGTTATGAGAATTTCATCAATCATCGCATTCTCAAGTTTGCAGACAACGTAAGGCAGCAACTTGCACGCATTATGGAAAGATTCAACCTCAAGCTATGTAGCACAGACATCAACAGCCGTGACTACTATATCAACATAAGAAAGGCCATGTTGGCCGGCTATTTCATGCAGGTGTCGCATTTGGAACGTACCGGTCACTATTTGACAGTGAAGGACAATCAAGTATGTTCTCTTTCCTTTGCAAATGCACCAGATGTTTTTTGCTTGCTAATTTTTTCTCTGACACCTGACCTGATAATTGTAGGAAAAGATTTGCTTATATTATCTATTACTATACATGCTTTTATTACTAATTACTTTTTATATGAAACTTGTGTAATTTAGGAGGTTCACTTGCACCCTTCAAACTGCCTGGACCAAATGTCTGAATGGGTTCTGTACAACAAGTGTATGTTAACAAGCAAGATATCCATCTGCACTGTGACTGATATCAGGGGTGAATGGTCAGTTTTTTATAATAAATATTATTCTTGAATATTTATTGTGTATTCTGGATTATTAATTTAGTGTGTATTCTATCATATTTGTCTTGGGATTCTCTCCGTCTCTTTCCTCACGGATGGTGGGTTGAAATTGGGAGCAGCAGAGGAAACTTTTCCTATTCATCTGTCACAAGTTCTTGTTGCTTTGTATGTGCATTTATTGGAACTTTTGAACTGATAGGAAGTCGTCTATCCTTCTTCTGTTTCTCCAATTGTGTTTTTGAGCGCGTTATTTTTTTCTGTACAAAAAATTTAAACGATATTGAAGAAAAAGAGATCTTACTGTGTGTTTTTGGTGCATTATTTGGGACACAGGTTGATCGATATAGCACCACATCATTTCAATATCACAAATTCCCCCCAGTGTGAAGCAAAGCATGCTCTTGAGATACTGTACAAGAAGAGGGAGAGGGAAGTGGGAGAGCAGAACACGAAAAACAAGTGGGTGACACCTTTCATCAGCTCCTAGTTGATTTAGTTTATTGTGTTCCCTCACTATGATCCCGAGACCCTACTTTTTGTGGGATTTTACTGGGTTTGTTGTAGTTGCTGTTGTTGTTGTTGTGTGACTTGTGTGCCTCTTTATGATGAACTCATTGATGATGTTTTCTCATAAGATGTGGACAGCTGTGTACCGCCATTGAATGACAATTTGTTTCACTGTCTTGTTAGTAATATGGTGATTCTGTGTGTACTTTGCTGACACATTGACACTGGTTGATTCACATGAAAAGTTGGTTCAACAGAGGCGATGTGGCCAAACATTCAGAACTTCAATAGTTTGAACTTTGAACACACTCAAAACTTGAGTAGTTTGAATGCAGAACTTACCTCTTCTTATTCGAAATTATGATAGTGTAAGGATGGTTGCAATACAACTTTATACTCATACATATGACACAATGAAGATTTCTCTCTGCAAAGACAATTCAGCCGCACATTGAACATCCATGATAGAACCTATTGCTTCTTAGGTGCACTTGTGAGGTTTTCATAAAGACTCGAGATTTCTCTCTGCAAAAATTTAAAATAAAAACATTCACTATCATTGAAGAAGGAAAATGGACAATTAATTCTGGACAAATGAAAGTAAAAAAAAAATAAAAGAAAACTTGGAGCTTGTTCTCTTCGTCTAATTGGATTTGATCTGATTTTTTTAAGGTCTGATCTGGTCTCATCTAATATGATTATAGTTATATTTAAAGTTATTTATGATCTGATCTCTTTCCAATAAGAGTAAGTAATAAGTAATAAGTTGACAAGCTCTTAATCTGGACAAATAAGGTGAGCATGTATGGTGGCATTACCTCGTAATGCTTGAACAATTTATCTCTTCTTTTCTTCAATGTAGCTGTAACCAAGTCGTTGCCGAGCTCAAAGAGTTGGGGCTCAAGAATGACTCCTTTAATGTACTCAAAACCCCTTAGCTGCTTCCAAAACACATTGGTCAAATCCAATATCATAAGATTATTCAGACAAAAATATAAACAACCATACAAGACTTTGAAGTTTAAACTACTCTTATTAGTTTGACCTTCTAGAATGAAACTTCAAGTCTTAATAATGATTATTATAATGTGACATACACACGAACACACCTTATTCCTCTCCGCAATAGCCCTCAACTCAACGAGGACATGACTCTCCAACTTCTCAAGAGAGCAGAGCTCTTGAAAAGTGCCAAAATGCCCGTTTTGATGCGCCCATTTAGAGGTGTTCTCTTGATGGGGAACCACCACTGCAACCAGCATAGACTTGAAACTGTCCCCATACACCCATATCTGAAAGTATATAATCATGATTTCAATAAAAAAAATTATGGTTGGCATTTGGAAATCAATGTATAAAACAGACCAATCAACTTCATTTAACTCATCACAAGTGGCGTGCTTACGTCTTCAACAATGGGCGCTATACCATAAATCTTTTCAAGATATTCAACCGCGACGTATTCTCCTTGAGAGAGCTTTATGAGATTTTTCTTTCTGTCAATTATTTTTATAACTCCGTTGGGCAACATTTCCCCAATGTCACCTGTATCAAAACAATGTTGTCATGAACTAATTAAGATTATGTCTGAAAACGACATTTGCAACGTATATGGATCATCAGATAAATAAGGGAACCAAAACAAATACCTGTGTGAAACCACCCGTCTTTACAGACTTCTCTAGTCAATTCTGGGTTCTTGTAATATCCTGCAAAATTTGTCTTCCCCTTGACACATATCTCCCCTCGCGGGGGCTCCCCAAGGGGGTTGTAACCCATTTCTGCAACCTCTTCCAGACGTATTTCTGTGTATACAAATGGGGATCCAACCGTTCCAAGCATGCACATTTCATCTGGGTAGCATATCGTGGTCAACCCACACGTCTCAGTTAGCCCTGCATTTTTTTAACAGTGAAAAAGACTTGTATTAGTCTATAATTGGAATGCGATATAATCACATGCTTATCTAAGCTGGTTTGATGTCACCAAAGAAATGTAAAAGCTTAAGAAAATTAGGTTTGTTTGTTTGTTGTTGCTGTTGGTATGCTTGAGTCCCTTTGTGATTTTAAGGACCAAAAATGGAAATAGATATAAATTCATAGTCGTACGCCAAAATTGAAAAGAATGAAAGTAATGTTACCGTATCCTTGTACGACAAATGCACAAGATGTGACCCTCAAGAATTCTTCAATCTCACTGCCCAGCGCCGCACCACCAGAAACTACCAGGCGAAGTCGGCCACCTAGCCTTGCTTTTACCTGTCAATGTGTCCAGAAAATTAGCATTTATATCTACGAAAACATGCCACACTACCTGAAAAATTTCAAGTTCACACAGAAAACAAAATCAACTTTTAAGTATGAAAACCTCTGAATGGTGCGGAAAAATATAAAATTAAACCTTTCTAAAAGCAAGCAAATCCGCAAGTCGTGATGCAGCTCTGTGCTTGTAGCCTAGCTTCATCCATTTGAGTTTGCTGTAAAAATGGGTAAGTTCATGTTAACTAAATATCAAAGATGAATGAATATGATTCCCACGTTAAAGAAGATAGGCAGAGCTTATTACTAGTTATACAGAAAGTTGAAAACTGCTCTCCTGAATGGATTGAGTTCGTCTAGTGCTTTTAGGACACCTATAATAGGAACATCACTTAGGATAATATAATAGAAGTTCAATAACATCACAACCAAATATAAGCTAAGCAACTCATGCACTTGTCCTTAAAAAAAAATTAAAAATGGTTACATACCTTCGTGGATTCTTTCAAAAACTCGAGGCACTCCTGCCAAGAAGGTCGGCTTCAACTCCTCCAGATCATCTTTTATCTCATTGATATTCTACACCATTTGTAATCGGGAAAAACATCAGAAAATTTAGTGTTCAATAATGAGAATCAATTTTAGAGAAGCATGTCCGCTCACCCCGTGGTAGTAGCCAACTGAAGCACCCTTGTAGAAGAAGTACTCTTCAATCATGCGATCAAGGATATGGGCAAGTGGCAAGAATGATATGTACACATCATCAACTGTCATCTACCATATTTGAATTCGCAAATCAGTTTTTCCATACAAATCTTCAAGGTTTTATTATTCATAAGACATACTAATAACTTGTTTTAAACGACCACACTGAAATGGCTCATAATGCCATACAATTCAGAAATCAGAACATAAGAGACCAATGTTGGTAATCAAAGTTTTTATTTTTAAACAACTTTTACCTTATCTTCAAACTGGTCCATAAAAAGATCCAAACCTCTTGCAGCTGATGCAATATTTTCATGTGTCAAAATGACACCTTTAGGTTCTCCACTAGTTCCGCTGGTGTACATTATGGTGCAAATATTAAACGGCTGTGGTGGTGTAACCTCCCATGGATGCTCCTTACCCTGTAAACCATTTCATATTACTCACTCTGAAGATAAAGGCAATGCAAAAGAGTTGAGAAAAATTACCATTTGGAGAAACTCATTCCAAGAGTATGGCTTGATACCCATGGAGATAGCCTTATCCTTCTCTTCCTTCTTTAGTGAGGTGAGACAGACAATTACTGCAACGTAGAGAAGGCTTAGTGACAATGTCCTTCGGAAACAACTCAATGGGGAAAGCTAGAAATCATACTCACTTTTCAGTCGTTTCAAGTGTGTACATTCAGCATTAAGAAGCTGCGAAATTTAAGCTTTATCAGATTTGCAATACTCAAAATCAAATTCAATCTAAATGGGAACATGACACTTCATCCTCACTTCTTTCACTTTCTTGTCTTGGACAAAAACCACATCGATCTCAGAGTGGCCTATTATAAAATCAACAGCCCCAGACCCTGCATGCAATGATCAAGTTATATAAAACTTTAACTGAAAACATTTATTTTTTTCAAGAAGCAAACACAAGAAAGATGTATTACCAAGGGTGTCATACAGTGGAACACAAATAAAACTCTGGGCACCACAGGCCTGCGCAAATAAGGCAAGAAAAGATTTTGCTATTTTAGATGAAAAGGCTAAATCATTTGACCACACACATAATAAACACAAAAGGGAAATGCAATGTTATTTCTATAACCTCCATTGCTACGATCCATTGAGGGCAGTTGGATCCATAAATTCCAATTCGAGCACCCTAACATAAAACAGAAGTTTTGCTTTCACTAACTAGCTTGATGTATAAGAAGCATGTATGCATATAAAAATTGTACGTAAGTGCTTAATTCTTTACAGGTTCGACACCATGAGCTCGTAATGCAGAACCCGCCTGCAGAATTTCTTGGAAAGCTTCACTGTAGGTTTTCCAAGCATATGGGCCCCACTGAAACCAATAGCATATATGAATTAATGTTCAACAAAGAAAGCATTTGGCAGTGCTTGGTGATCTAATCTCGCTCATCAACACAGTAAGCAGAATAAATTGAGCTTTTGACATAGTTATGTGGCTAAAATGGATGTTACCAAGCGCAGCCCTTTATACTATCTAGACATATTCCGATCAGCTGAAATGTACCTTGCCATTAACGAGTTCTCGCCACCCCAACATTTTATTTGTTGGATGCTTCTCCACAGAAGCTCTGTTCATCAAAAGTGTTTCAGTTAAAATGCATTAGATACTTCATGTCCTGATTCAATCTAATCCACACAAACTTAAGTATAATTAACCTTAGGAGTTCCCAAGCAGTAGATAAGTATGGATCAGTAGGAGGGAATTCATCCTTAGCCAACAGATTCCGGTATACGGGGCCCACGGATGGCTGCCCGCCGTGGCCTTCTCTTCCCTCCTCAACTTTTACAGCAAACATCTCGTCCTGTAATAAGGTGTATAGTTTAGTAAGACGGAATAGAATGTGATATACTCCGTAATTGATTACAACTCTCAACTATAAGAATTAATCGATGTATTTTTAACTCAAGATGAAAAATCTCAGCTACAGGAATATCTTAATCTAACTTTTTGATGATATCTTTTAAAATATGAAGAGAGGTATCTATAACATGCCAAACCCATACATAATATGAACACAGAGTGCTTGTTTGGGATGACCTTAA